TCTACTCGTTAATCAATTAAGTGTTAATTAAGGAGCAGGAGGTGTCTGGGGTCCAGATAAACGCTCCTGCCTGGATCCACTCTGTTGACTCAAATGAGATCATCTTTCACCTGCCAAGGTGAATGCTACTGCAAACAAAGAAACTTCCACCAACAGGAAACACGAGTGTCCACGTTTGCATTGACAACAGATTCAATGAGATTAAAGGCTTTTGACTAAATGTGGGCTCGTGCACCCGCAGACGATCCGCCCTCTGCACATGCTGACAGACTGCACACAGCTCACATGGTAACTTCTGTCTGTGCATTAAGTCTCAGTGTTTAAATGTCTGCCTCTCCTCCCCATCAACACTCTGCAGGCCTCCAAATCACTACTGTAGTCTCCCATCCCACTTTATTAGGTACACCTACAGACTGTAATGTTTGATTCCTCACCGCCTCACACCGACACAGGGGAGGGGAAATTTTGTAAGCATCCTTTCACTTTTAGCCGTCTAAATTTAAGAGTCTCAGCTTGAAATGGGACCGTCTCAGCTCCGTGATTTACCCGCCGAATCCCCCGCCGAGAACAAAAGCTCTATCTGGCATTCTGAGCGTCCTGCCCTCCCCCCGGGGAGCCGCTGTTAACTTGTAATGCATTCAGCGGCTGCTGCAGCCTCAACAATGACTTCTGTACAATAAGAAATCAATATTTCATTAAAAGCTGCAGAATCTCTGCACAGGCACTTCAAACATTTGGAACCAAGCTGTGCCTTTAATTGCAGCTTTGAGAGAGAGACGGCGCTCTAACCGCCGAGGCATCAGTCAGGCGTGGCGGGGACGGTCATCGGCAGCACAGGAGCTCAAATCTACCACCAGGGGGCAGTGCTTTAACTGCTGGGATTTTTTTCAACTTCCCCAGAGGTTTCTCAGGGCGGGACGTCACTCTGAGTCCGACGGCGTTCCCAAGTGTCGCGCCCAGATTAAAAAAGCCCACAAAAACAGCCACAGTGACTCACTGCGCCACCTAGTGTTCAAAGCTGGTATTACGTAAGTTCAGGTCGAAGCTTTAAAGCTTTTAAACTATTGGACACGCTGAAACTGAAATCAGTGAGCCTGACCTGCAGAGATCAGGAGTGCTGCAGAAACACCAGAATGAACTGTAGTTACTCAGAGGGCGATTTAAAAACCGAGGCAAAAGCAGTAATTATGATAAGCCGAAGTACCCAGAGTGCAGCCTGAAAGACTGAATGCGGGTTTGTGGCTGAATGATGCGTCTAACAGCAGGAGATGAGCTGTGAGGAGGGACTGTGTGATGATGAAACTCGGCACCGATCACAGAGTATCATTAGAGACAAACATTATTCCCCCACAGTGTTTCTGCTTAATGCAAAACTGTTGAACATGAATAGGATTCAGTGGAAGTCGTTGAGCTCATTAGTGAATAAATGAGGAGCCATTAGAGCAGAATAACAGAGGAGAGCTCCCGCTGTGCAGCCTCAACTCCTCCTCGTCGTGTTTCTGTTCACCAACACCTGAAATCATCCACCGTGTCTGCTCTTCTGTCACACCCTCCATCCTTCTGACCTCTGCTGGGGTCGTATCTGATTTCCTCTCAGACCTGCGCTGAACTCCTCCTCCTCCTCCTCTCTTTGATGTTGATTTCATTTCTTTCCTTCTCACTTGTTTTTCTCACGCTCCACCGGTCGATCTGAAAGCGCCTCACCTCCTCCCTCCGTCTCCTCCACTTTCTAATTCTCTGTCTCATTTGCTCGTTTAATCCTTGGTCCTCTTCTTCCTCTCTGTATCTCACCATTGAGAGCACGCCGGCGTCCGTCCCTCCCTGTCGGCGTCAGAGGTCGTGCCTACAGTGATATTTGTGCGTGTTGCTAATCCGCTCTGTCTGTTTGTGTCTCGGAGCAGAAAGCGGACCTGGCGGTGGCCGGCTTCACCATCACGTCGGAGAGAGAGAAGGTGATCGATTTCTCCAAACCCTTCATGACTCTGGGGATCAGCATCCTGTACCGGGTTCATCTGGTAAACTCGCCTTCGCTCTTCTATTCTTGACATCAATCACAAACTGAATGCACGACGAGGGCTGAACGAGATTTAATAAGACGTTTCACTTGTTCTTCACAGACGTGGAGCGTGAGCGCAGACATCAGAGACTGGTTATTTCTTCTGATGCTGGTCACACTGGTTCAAGCATGAATACCTGAGATGTGTCAGAACAGCCAAATCACAGTTTTTACGCCACATTTTTCCACAGAGCGGTTTGTGTCACTGCTTCAAACCAAGAAACCTCCCAAATAAAGCAAAACATGTCAGAGTACAGAGATAGCGTGTACACATGACGTGAGGAGTCAGTGGGGTGGTGCGATGCCGGGGGGAGGCACGTGTGACCCCGGGGAACATGCTTTTTATGCCAGAGTAGAATAAAGTGTAATTGCACATCCACTACAGTAGGTGGCAGGGTTGTTATGAAGTGCAGCAAACAAACCTGAAAAAGAAATGGAAAAATATTTAACAGCGACGAAAAGAGACGGAGATAACGGGACAAACGAAAGTGTCCTGAAAGCAGTGTTGACAACTTAGCGACTTTGTTGCTATATTTAGCGAGTTTTCAGACCCCCTTAGCGACTTTTTTCTAAAAAGCGACTAGCAACTAATCTGTTGACTTTTTCTGGTGTTATTGGAGACTTATTTATGACGTCTTTTTGACATGAAAGCGGGTATCGCTCTTACTCTCAACAAGCAGCGGTGCTGCCGTGGGCACCTCGCCCGTTCCAAAGCGCTCACAGGCGGAGGATAGTCCTCCACCCGCTGCTATCAGGGCAGGAGACGTTCACACCTGTGCATCCAAACTGCAAATGAATCGCGCATGAGCGAAGCCGCTGCTCCCGCACTGACTTTAGCGCAGTCAGGTCTTCCTTTACTGTTGTGCTGTTTTGTGGATCAAGTTTAAAACTACTTATAAACACACACACAAAGTACCAGAGCGCCAATTTCGGGTCACTTTTGCCGGTCCAAGCCCGGGTAAAGGAGCAGGGTTGGAATTGTGACATTGAAAAAAACAATAATTACTAAAATAAATTTAATTTGTAGTTCTAACTAAACTCTAAATGCATTTAGGACGTTTTTACTCTCTTTATGTCTCTTCCACGATGTTATTTCTCTCTCCAACAACATAGGTTACAATTAGATTTGCATGACCAATTGTGCAAATTAGGCGATGACGTCATTTAGCGACTTCTAGCGACTTTTAGGACAGCCAATAGCGATTTTCCTTACTGAGGAGTTGGCAACACTGCCTGAAAGCAAAGACGAGGAAATGTGCCGACGCTGGCTTCACTGTGACTTTGTAGGTTAAAGTGTTTCATAGATATGAGAAGGGCCGAGTTTGGGTTTTTGAGTCGTTAATGTTGCTGATCAATTGTATTTATTTGTTTCATTTTAATTTCAGAATCAAGTCGGTCAAAAGAAAATGTTTACAGTTTCAATAAGGATTCATTTTTTTAACGAATCCTTGCTCGGGCGCCTCAGAGCGCGCTCAGCCTCGCTGTCCTGGCAGCTCGTCCCGGGTTGATAGACATCCGCGCTACCTATAAATGTGCTACAGTAGGACGTTTTGTCAAAACACCAGCCCGACAGGTCAATCAGCAACCTGTTGACCAATGAGATGAAACCTTTCCCTGTGCTTCCCTGGAACAGCGGTCTAAGTCGCACCTTCAGTCGCTAACCTCGCTTGAACTGCAGCTCTCTCTGCGTAGCAGGCACTGGACCCTGTGCTCTCCGCCTCCGTGCAGCATATGAAATAATAAAACACCTACAGCACCTGTAAGGCTCATAAAAAATGCATCGCAGCACAGCACAGTGGAGCTGTCAGCACCGCAGGCTTCAAATAAGCAGACAACAGGTTTAATAAGACGTTCCAGCAGAGCTAGCTGAGTTAGCTGCACAGACCCAGACTGAGGAAGCCGCTCAGCGTCGTACCGCAGAGCAGAGAAACCCCACCTCTGTGTGGAGAACAGAGGAAGACTCAGTCTTCCTGTTAAAGTTTAACTTCTTTCTCTCCGCTGTCGCCACGTGCTTCTCCTGATGGAGTCTCGACCTCGCTGTGAGTCGCAGTCGCAGAGAAACTCGACGTGTTTGTGGAGGATTCTCGTGGGATCTTTGATATTAAAATATCAGGTTCAGTATGAACAGTCGGGTTTGCTCAGAGCGCATGAAGCCTTCTTTTTACCAGCAGCTACATGGCCGGAGCAACTGGAGGTCCTAATAACTGAAACTGAAGAGACACAGGTGCAAATGTTTAACACCAGCACAAGCGTGTCTCATTCTGGGCACGGCTGTGATGGCTGTCTGAGACAGAACAAACACATGTGCGATGCAGCGTCTGTCCGGATGCAGGTGTTAGTGTCATGTTCCCCGCGTCTGTGGCTCACACAGCATGGAGAGAGGCCCATTGTTCAAACTGTGCTCATTGCTTGGCACGCTGTGAGATCACCTGCCTCACCGCCGAGCTTGAACCGAGAGCTTGGATTGGTTACGCCTCCTGTACCTGCAGCAGGTGGAAACGCAGCGAGCTGGTGCACACGTGCTAGAACATCATCACATCGGCGACGCCAGGATGTAAATGAGGTCATAGCTCCAGTCTAACGTGTGCAGGCCCTGAAGGTTCAGATGAAATGACAGCTGACCCTTCAGGGATGCGTGCGTGCTCAGATCCATCAGGTGAATATTAATGGAGGCGCCGTCAAAGCGCCGCGGGCGGTTTGCTTTCGTCCAAAGAAGCGCTTTTTAGACGATGTTAAAGGTCCGTTTATTTCCAGGCGCCGTCTGTGGACTCGCACAAACTTTTACAAATTGAACAGCCGAGCGTTTGCACCTGTTGACACTTCCTGTCTCGCCCCGGCTCCGTCCGCCTGAGGATTGGATGGATTCAGACACGGCAGTGAGGCTCTGCTGCTGGCGGCGGCGATGGCTTGGGTCACTCAGTCAATCTGTGAGTTTGGGACCGAGCGACCGCAAATATTCCTGCGACCCGAGAGATCGCGCAGGAAGAGGAAGAGCTGGGGGAGCAGATAAAAGCCGAGCCGGGGACACAGATGGAGGGCATGTTTCTTCTCCTCCTGTGATTCAGTTTGGGGGAGAAGGTGACGCCAGCTGCTGCTTGAAAAATATGAGTTTTCCAGCCTCTGAGGGAGGATCGGTGGCTCTGCGTCCCTGACTGGAATCTAAAGCAGCGCCTTCACTTCCTGCGAGTCTGACAGAAACCTGCTCAGGTTGTAGATTTTTGGGTGAACCTCAGTCTCAGGGGTTAGGACGCTTTCAGGGACGATTACACTGTTGTTATTAATTATTATTGAGTTCTCTGAGGATTGTGTAGGAGGAGGCGGAGCGAGGGGCACGTTTCCTGTTTTAGAGTCGTTGTTAGTTCGATGTATTTCAGTCCTGTGTGAAATATGAACGCAGGAGGACTAAGAAAGTCTAAAAGGGCAGGTTAACCCTCTGAAGCCCACGCGTCCAAATCACATGACCAATGCAGCAGCGAGACGCAGCCAAGTGTTGATTGGTCACGGTGTCCACGCTCAGTACACAGAAGTGTTTCGGACACGTGATGATGTGCTGCTGTTGAACTATGGAAACCATGTTTGTCTCAGCTCTGCAACGAAGCGTCCGAGCGTGTTCAGGTGTGTTTCAGTCAGCCATGTTTTTAGCGGCCTGTTTTCCCGTGCATGACATCAGCTTTGTGGCATGCACCAGTGCACATGAAGCACGCTGATCCGCAAAGCATGCGTGGCTTGGAGGCGCAGCGGCAGCAGTCAGGCCTGCGTGAGCAGCTCCAGTGTGAGAACTGTCAAACATTTATTCGTCATTATCATGAAATCGTCCTCGTCTCTCCTGATGGAGCTCCTGCCCACAAACACTGTACCTCTGCGGCTCATTAGCATTCTGTCCTCCATGTTTGACCCGGTCCGCTGTGAGAGCTTCGGTGTATCGACTCTACGATCAGTCAGCTGTTTAATGTGTGCACGGAGAGGCCGAGCTCGCGCTTCTTAAGTGTTTATTTAAGGATTAAGTTGAGCGAGAGCACATTTGTGCTCACGGCCTGCAGGCGTGATTTACGCTCTCACAGCGCCGGGCTGATGGGCAGATCCATTGCCTCGATCCGGAGGGGAGCTCCGCCCTCCCGCTCCAGTGTGGAGTGGAGAATGTGAACCGAGACGCCGTGAATGTATCCCGCTAACACCAGGCGTCTGTTATCGAGTGCAGCGGTGCTGTTAGATCAGCTATCAGGCCGTGCTGCACACACGGGCTGGTTTATTGAGCTGAGGGGGCGTTCCCTGAAACGCCGCCTTGTCATGTTGGTGCTGTTTGATTGAACTTGAGCAGGGCGAACATATTTTAGTCGTCACAGAGCAGAGAAGGCGATCCCGGGCCTGCTGCTGAGATTTGAATCTTGCAGCTGCGTCTTCCTCTCTTTGTTTCCTATTCGAGTTCATTGATCTTAGCTTTGATTGGGGGCTTTGATGTTTGTTGTGCTTCACATTTTTATGCTGGATTTTGTATCCTTGTTTGCTTTGTTTGGGCTCATTTGTTCCCTTCACTGTTCCCTTGTGGTGGCGTTTGAGTTTACACCGATTTCTTCAACAGCGTAACAGGCGATGTTTAGCCGACTGTCTACAACATCAGTGCACGATGTGAGTACGTCTGTGTGCGCACATGTCGGTGTGCAAACTCACACAAGCCAACAGGAATTAAATCTCAGAAGTCCCGAAGCAACTGAATACACAATCCAATCGTGTCTGCAGGCGTCAACAGCTTTATGTGCTTTGTAAACACACACACTCATAGCTGCGTGTGTGTAAATAGCTCGCGAGCACACTTGAAGATGGTAATCTGTTTAATTGCTCAAGCTGTTGACTTGTGCACACACATTAGAGAAGAAGAGCCATCGTGTTTACCCCTGCTCTCCCCCCCCCCAGCGCTGAACACTACAAATTTATGTCTGCTGCTGCTCCCAATTCATTAGTGCTCGATATATCATCACTGCCCTGCTCTCTGAATCTGAGGCACAGCGTTTCACTGCGATCGTGTGACGCCGTCTGAGCTGACGCTGAGCAGACGCCGGCTGATTGCGAGGAGAGGAAGCGGCGTCGTTAATATTAGAGCTGCTAGCGGCACACGGCTCTAAATACAGACGCCTGTAAAACAAGACAAGTGGAAATACAGCACGATAACAAGCTTCAAGTTAAACTTGTATCTCCTCAGTCTGGATGGTCTCATGTCCTCCTCGTGCTGACACATCTGCCTCCATGGGTCTCAGCCAGGTTTAGCACAGGCTAAAGTTCCTAAAAGTTCCTGTCGCTCACATTTATTCAGGGTCAGAGGTTAGATTTCTTTTATTTGTGCATGTGTTGAATTGCACCATGGCTTCGTGTGTTCCTGCATAAGCTTGACTCACTTTTGAAGCATCTCGATTTTCAGAGCCAACAGCGGGCAGATTTGCTAATGCTAGCTAGCGCTGTGACTGTGTAGTAGTGATGTGTCGGTCGCGAACGAAACGGCTCTTAGAGTCGGATCTTTGACGTGAACCACGCGAGCCTTGTGCTTTACACTGGGCAGAGGGGGGCGGGGCGGTAGTTACACTCAGTAGCACAGGAACAGAGCAGGAGGGAGAGAGAGCCAGGGACAACAACGTCACATTAGAAAGGTATAGTAATCATCCACAACTTGGTTGCAGATGATAAAGGATTCAGAAAGTTTATTCATGCAGGTCCATATGACAGAAAATGTGCATCTTCTTTTTGTTTTCATATTATAATTTATATTTAATTGTGTTGTGGTTTGCAGTGTTTTGTGTTGTTTCACTTTAAATTTGTTTAAAAGGGAAAAGCTGAAAATTTAAATAGTTAAAAGTTGAAATGTGAATAGTTGATTTTTGTATTATATGATTTATTTATGACATTTTATGTGGAGTGAATAAATAAAAGTATATTTACGGTACCCTAGAGAGAAAGCACGTACAAACTCCAAAACACAACAGAAGTGCTCCAGGATGCTAGGGGGCAGTGTTGAGCTTTTGTTACCTCGTGGCTGCACAAGCCAGCAAGTACCAACAACCGGATTCGATGTGTGGTAGTAACAGGTAAATGAACATTTGTTTTTAATTATTTGAATACATATGAGTGCTTGTGTATAAATACACAAACAATACACACGTGCTTTCAATTGTGTAATTTAAGTGATCTAGGTAGTGTCGGGAAATCAGTTTCACCCCGGTTCTTTTTATTCCTCAGGCTTCCAGAGATGCACCGGACTCAGTAGTCATTTCACAAAACCTTTATTCATCTCATTTAAGCATGCATCTTCTAGAAGGGAAGACTTGCCAGGCCGGTGCCCCTCTGCAAAATCTTCACTCCTTTGTCTGTGAAACACAGTTTTGTAGGAGCGACTGTATCATACAACCCTCACGGTGTGCTGCAAACTCTGTGTCTGTGCCTATGTGCACGAGCACGTGAATGCCTGTGTGTGCGCGTACCCGTGTGTCTATGTGAGTGCACGTGAGTGAATGGGCGTGTGTGCGTAACAGTTAAAGCACTATGTGCGTATATCTCTATGTACGCGCCTTCCTGAGGGTCATAAAAGTCCATCTCCCTTCCAAACCGAAGTTATTCAGTTACAAACTTTGAGACTCCCACCCAGGCATGCCCTGAGGAATTTCCACTCAACATTAACCTCTCTTTGTCTCACTTTCACAGTTCAAACTGGGGGAGGGTCTCCTAGAAATCTACTCCTAAGTTTATGACACACTCAGGCCTTTATTACATCCAGGGCAGTGTCAGAGTCTCTACAATAATTCTACATCCTGTCTAACACATTTCTAAACTCTAAATTAGGCTACGCATATCTTCAGTAGCTGTTTTGAAGTTCAGTTAATGCTAGAAACGTGTTTTGTCTCTAGGGGCCACCGTGTATATTTATATATAAACATATATTAATAAAACCACTTTTTCTTTTATATTAGTAATTCCTTTTGTGCATAATTTTATATTATTGTTAATAATAAATAAATTAAAGCAACAAAACAACCTGAAGAGCCAAAACCCCATCACTACTGTGTAGGTCAGGGGTCGGCAACCCTGGGCACGCGCTCACTTTGCGCCAGAAAGAGGAAACCAGCGGATGTCGCGCTAAACAGCAGCAGCACGTTTAAGCTTGATCAGCTGTTGTTAGAATTTATTTAATATTACTTTCTAGTATCAGCTGATGTTTGCTGGAGCCACAGCTGTAAAGCTGCTGGTCATGATATCGGTTTGGATATGTGGTGAGAGGGAAACATGAAACCAGGAGATGTCCTTACTGGATCATCAGAGCTGTGATGGAGAAACAGGTTTACCTTTTAGGTGACATGAATGAGTTGAAGTTATGAACTGTTTCTGAGAGACAAATAAGACCAGGATCCTTTTCTAAGCAGCTGACAGCTGGTAACTGTGCAGGGGCGGGTCTAGCAAAGTGTTGCCAGGGGGCAGGTAGGGCATTAACAGGGAGAGGGGGGCACAAAGAAACACTTTTCTTTCTTATTCTCATTTAAAATATTTAGCTTTTATTAAATAATTTTCTAAATCTTACAACCAAAGTTTTTATCTGACGTACATATACCAACAAGACTGTACATCACTGTCACAGCAGCGTCTGTTTACATTGTTGTGAGGAGACCATAAACAGCATTTGTATTTTCTGTTGTACACTTCATTTGCTGTTATGGATAAAAAGTCTTTTTTTGTTTCAAAATAGCTGATTACTATTCGCTGACAGCTGCCAACTTCTGTGAACACATGTAAGTGTGTAACTGTTATATTATTTATTGCTAATGCAAACATACGGCACATTGACTTCTGAGGAAATTTTAGACAGCACTCATCATCAAAAAGGTTGCCGACCCCTGGTGTGGGTGGATGGTAGACATGGTAACGGCCAGGTAACACGTGAGACTGTAAGTCGCCGTCACGAGGGCACACCTGCATGTTTGCACGTGTACACGTTCCAACCTTATTTCCACCATGGGTCTTCTTGTCGATGAAAGTGCTCCCTCATTATAACGGCTTCGCTGGTTTTTTGTGCAATTTTTCTTTTTTCTTTTTTTACAGCACATTGTGTTCTGCGTCCTGATTGGCTGTAGACCATTGTCAATCAATCTCATGCCGTGTCTCCTGTACAGTGCAGAGTGCGTTCAGCTTGTCAAATTTGCATCAACCTTAGACCCTAGCAGTGCTGCACTGTATGTGTGTAAGTTTCCTCCCAAAGAAACGCAACAATGTTTGGTTTCATCCTATAATTCTGGACTTATTTTTCTACAAAGGTTTGAACTTTGAGAGTTTAAACGAGAGAAAAGTGAAAACGTTCATGCGTGTCTGAGTGTGTAAAGCATGCCGTGACGGGTTTTACAGCCTTAAAACATCCATAATGACTGTAAAAAATAAAGTTCATGGGTTTCACCTGTCGCGTGTTATTTTCAGAACATAACTCCCGCGATAAACGAGCGACCGCTACATATTGATGGATGGCGCGGGGCCGGCACTTTGTCCTCACATCGAGAAAGTCGTGGGTTTGAATCCGCCCGGGTACTCGGGCTTGCTCCCACAGTGGGGTTAGCCTAATTAGCTGCCTGCCTGTGTTAGACCTGTCCAGGTGTTCTCTGCCCCTTGCCCCCTTGTGTGTTGGGTTAGGCTCCACCCCCCTCGACCCTGTGCTGAATAAGCAAGACGGGATTCTTCTTACTGTCCAACCAACCAGAGCTACGCTGTATTGCAAACACAGCTCCCGTAGGAACATTTTCTTTCAGTCGCCAGTGAAGTCGGGAATGCTGGATGCAGCCGCTGTCACCTGCTCTTGTGCCCGGGATGTTTGATTGGGTCTGAGCCACATCACACGATCGTTTCAGCTCTGCCAGCCTCATGAGCTGTTTCTGAAATGAGCCAGAATGGACAGAAATCAGAGCCTGAATAGATTGCCTCTATTACAGCTCCAGTCATCTGCTTTAATTGAGTCCAATCTGGGAGTTCCTGCTCCCCTCACTGCCAAATCCTTTTTCCAGCAGATGGGGGGTGATGGAGGCATCGCAGACAGCAGGCCACGTGATGAAGCGGGTCAACGGGAGGCGTCCCATCAGGGAGCGCTGGCTGACGCTCGTTAGCGCTTGAAAAGCTCGTCAGTGTAATTTTGTGTTCTGTTGTTTTTGTTGTGTTGTTGGAATTGCAGGTTCAAAGTGAACGAGCGCTTTTTGTTCCAGGAGCGTCATTTTCCAAAATGCACAGCTGTCAGTGTGAAGGTGTTTCAGAGTGTGCTGTGATTGGCAGACGGTCATTATCACAAATCGCCGTCCACGGCAGGAAGCTGTATCCTACCCTTTACAGACTGTAGATGAAGCACGAGAGCAGGCGGAGACCCGACGTTCCCGGTCAGGAATGCCGTGGTCATGTGATCTGTGTGTGTGTTTCAGGGTCGTAAGCCGGGCTACTTCTCCTTCCTGGACCCGTTCTCTCCGGCTGTCTGGCTCTTCATGCTTTTGGCTTACCTCGCCGTCAGCTGCGTCCTCTTCCTCGCAGCCAGGTAAGACACCTGTCTGTGCGTCAGCGTCCTAATTTTACCTGCAGCATGTGTCTGCGTTTCAGGAACAGTTTTCTAAGATGGGCCATAAATCGCTGACGCGCTCTGCACGCCATCCAGGACTTTGTATCGAAACTTTATTTACAGTCACAGCTTCAGACGCTCAGCTCTGTTTGAGCTGACAGAGACAAACCAAGCATTCAGCCACAGCACACAAAAAGTCATTTTATCTTAAAGTCGTGATTTGATGATGTCATCAGCTGCTTAGTGATGACATCATAACGAGCTGCACTTCAGAGTAAAAGCATGAAGAGAACAGCTTTAATCTCTGTTTAACTGTAATATGTGAGCAGAGAGTAGGAGGGGCACGCCTCTTCATCTGCTCCGTAACACACATGTTCAATCAGCTAATCACGTGGCAGCGCTGAGGGCGTTCATGCAGGTAGACACGGTGACGATGACATCAGATCATCTCTGGTTTCTGATCTCAGTCCAGCAGAGCAGCTCTGGAGAAATGTGTGATGATGTCATGTCAACATGGACCAAAATCAAGGAAAAAGGGGGTCTAATGAGGACAGGCTAGGTGTACCTAATGAAGTGTCCGCTGTCATTATTTCTGCCTGGGCTGATTTACAGTCTTCGCCTCACCTTGTGCAGGTGAGAGGCGAGTCAAAGCCGCGTCAGGCAGCAGGAAGCGTGGCAGTGACCAACCCGGCGTAACCGGAGGGTGTCCCGTTTCTGTTGAAGATCGACATAGAGTAAAAATATGATGTAACATTAATTCAATTCAATTTCAATTCAATTTTATTTATATAGCGCCAAATCACAACATAAGTCGCCTCAAGGCGCGATAAATGGAAGGCTAATGCTAAAATGACTCCACGCAACAGTCGTGCGCTCCAGCTGAGCGTCTAAACACAGTCACCACGTCGTTTCCTTTCAGGTGTCGAGCGTGACGTTCGTCTTTCTCGCCTTTTTTCTTTTGTTTTCTCACCGCATCGCTTTGACAGAGCAGAGCCGCCCCGCTGCGTAGGTTTAAGGGCTCCATAAGTGCAGGCAGCTGACCGTGAAATGTTAGCCGCGTGTCTGAGGCTAAAGCTACTCTGGGTTTTAATGTTTCGTCCTCTCTCCCCAGGCTCAGTCCCTACGAATGGTACAACCCTCATCCGTGTTTGCGGGAGCGGCGGGACATCCTGGAGAACCAGTACACGCTGGGGAACAGCCTGTGGTTCCCAGTGGGCGGCTTCATGCAGCAGGGCTCCGAGATCATGCCGCGGGCGCTGTCCACACGCTGCGTCAGCGGAGTCTGGTTGGTACCAGCTTATGTTTCAGTCACGCTTTCCAAATGTGCACGAACATCTTCAGACAGACGAACTTCATGTGAAACACGAGGTCATTTACATTACAAGGTCGTTTATAAATAATGGAGGACAGCGAGAACGACCGTTCCTGAGCGGAAGATGGCGTCACGCGGTGTCACGCTCAGAGAAATCACCACCGCAGCCCATCAGGCTGCAGCACGTTTCGCCTGCTCTGGTCACGCTGTGTTATCGGTACAGCAGTGGTCGATTCAGGAAGTGCCCCCAAACATGTTCATATGAAACTCCACCCCCTGTGTGCTGCTGCAAACCAGAGTGGGTGTGGGGAGGAGGTCGGGGTGGATGGATGCCACAGAGACACAGTGAGGTGAGCGCTGCATTCAGGGTTGGCAACTCCAGGCCTCGAGGGCCGGTGTCCTGCAGGTTTAGATCAAATGATGAGTTCGTTACCAGAACTCTGGAGCCCCC